ATCTGTCTTTGTAGAAATTTGGTTAGTCCTAACTTACTCTGCTAAATAAACTGTTGTTTTGTTTTAAACTCAAAATAAACAGCAAGTGCGGAATTATGGCTTAACTTTATCGGTGTTCAGAAGTTAGTCGAAGATTTAAAATAGAACAAATTTTAGACAAAATAATTTAAGGCAAAAAAGTATTTCATAACATAACTTATTTTGAAAAAAAATGAATGTATGATATTAAATGAAACTAGTTTAGGGATTTTATCGTGATTTTTATTTTGATTTGAACTCCCTACGTTTCGAACCCTTTCCAGCGTTCATGGTCACGGGACATATTGTCTGTCTGGATTTTACGCGAATATTATACATTTAATATGTAAAATATTCGCGTAAAATCAAGAAAACAATAGAATGATGAAATAGATTAGAAACGTTTGAAAAATTTAGTCGATATTACAAATCCTACTTTGAAAATTATTTATGTGATTACCTATATATAGAACGATATTAGGTCATAGTAGTAATTGAGTGAACAGATCTATTACCTGGCTAGAAGCACGTTACGCGATCGACGATTAGATGTATTTTGTTACAAAGAAGGATAATAATTATTTAGTCATTTTTACTGTACGTTTTAAACATTAAGACCTACACTGTGTACAGCATACTGAACATATCAGTATAGTTTCAGCACACATTTGATGGATTGGAACAAACAATTTAGTCCTTCGATTGGGGGCGATTGGGGTCAACTGCGCATCGAAGCTGGCGACACCGGAGTCTCATCGCTAACGAAGAATTACATCATGTGACGATCACGGAGTACTGCGACGCCGATTAAATTCAATAAAACGCGTTAATTGCGGGGTATTGAAATTGTGTCCCGGAATGACCAACAAAGGCGCACCGGACGAATTGCGAACACATCGATGGAGGTGAGTGCAGCTAGAAATTTGCATGATCATTCGCTAACTGAAGTGTTAAAAGCGTGTCAAATATTAAAACTGATTTTCCTCTCAGCCTTTACTCGAATGTTAAACGCTTCCGTTTTACAATTGTTTGTATGGAGTTATGGAAAGAGCTGATCGGATGATGGTTGATTTATAATTTGTGTACAATTTAAAAATGCTACCAAATTATGCCGATACAGCTCAGGGATGATTCGTGAAGCTTTTTAATAGCCTCACGAATCTATGAAATAAAGGAAAAAAAATAGAGAAACATTCTAATTTGATCAAGGATTGTAGTTGACGATTTATGATTTTATAATTTATAAAAATAAATCCAAGCATAAACCGCAAGACTTCTTTAATTTAAACTCATTTTGCGCGTATCGTTAAAAGTAGTCTTTATTTTCCTCGACCGTATAAAGATTTTAAAATGTGGCGGTTCACCTGATGTTAAGTGATTACCGCCTGCCCAGGGACATTTGCAACACCCGTAGGGTTGCAGATGCGTTGCCACCTGGTAGTAAAATGGGCCGCGGCTACCTCACTCACCAGACGAAACGCCGAAGTGCTACACTTCACGCCGATCTTCTGTGAGGTCGTGGTACTAACCCGGATGGACCTGCCCATTCAAGCAACTGAGAACACTGTTGCGTGGCCCTACCACCATAATTTACAATATATTGATAAATTATGGTGTGCAATTATAGATACGTATGGTAAATTATTACCCCCGATATATTAGTGAAGTCATTAGTGTCACGTGATAGAAGCCACTTACGTGTGTGATCATGTGAAAAAGTAAAAAAGTATTCGATCATTCTTAGTTATACTTAATAAATATCGTAGCAATCAATTATAAAGTTCTATAAATTGTTTTTTTGCTTTTACATAAAACTGCAGTTTACGTTATCTTGTATTCCATTTATTATGACGACGGAAAAATACTTAGAAGAAATCCGAAATTTTATTATAACATTTCTAATGTATTTCATTGTCGAAGCTGAAGAAGAGTTTTAATTAATGGTCCTTATTTAATAAGTTTAATATATTGGCTAAAGCAGACCCATTAAGATAATAAGTATATTAAAAAACGCGCGAGTCAATTAACACACGATAAAGTCGGACGTCCAGTATTTTTTATTAATTTTGTTATCGTACAAATTACCATAATTACGACCCACAACACGGGCAATTTTTTCGAAATAGAAATATTAATAATGTGAACATTTTGTTTCTGAAATGTCTCGCCACGTGTTTCGCTTGAACTTGGGAACTTCGGTGAAACTCAGTTGACTGAAGGGTTACGGTAATAGGATAGTTAGCGTGCCCATGTCTTGTAATCATCAAAAGTTTGTTACAGCACTACGGACTTTTAAAAAAGTGGTGTTGTTTGTTTTTTTTTTAAAGTTGGAATACTTAATAATTTCTTATATTTTCGCGACCCCGTGACCATGAACGCTGTAAAGGGTTCGAAACGTCGGGAATTAAAACCAAAAATGAATGCGATAAATCCGTAAACTTGTTAAATTAAGACAAAATATTCAACATACAAAATAAATATGGCATATATAAATAAGATGTAATAAACATTAAACGAGTAAATGTCTTCGTCACAAAATTTAAAAGTTTGTTGGAAATGATTTCGTTCAGATTTCTAATGCATTTACCCTTAAAGCCGAAAAGGATGGTTTCATATGTACAATACTTCGCTATCAAAGCCGAATTTCATTTCATATGCAACCTTGATAATTCAGTTGTGACATTCTTTTTAATCTTCATACATAAACTTATATATAAAAATCATCTTATTAAAATTTTATTACCGCGATTTATTCAAACGAGCGGCTTCTATGTATTTATGTACGTGATACAAATATTAATTAAACTCGAAAGCTGCGCTAGCGACGCGTGCAAGCGAAGCATTACGTGGGTTTAAGTTACGTTTTTACTTACAAGAGTCTTATCGCAATAATTTAAGTCAAGCATTTCCCGTTTCCTCTTCATGGCTTTGAGATGTAAACGTGTGACCGGCCGTGCTTGACGGTGCGCTACCGGAAGTTCGTTTACTTATCCGTTCCTTTAATTAAGTGCGCGGTAAATTATCATAATCTTATTAATTATAAATCCATTGCGCAGTTATTATTATTCATATACAGTTAATGTAATTTCATTTTTAGGTTTCCGTACCCTAAGGGAAAAACGAGATCCTTTTGCTAAGACTCCGCTGTCTGTCTGTCTGTGTGTCTGTCCGTCTGTCACCAGGCTGTATCTCATGAACCGTGATAGTAAGACAATTAGTCATAATAGACAATTAAGTAATAAAAAAGTTTGCCAAACATAATAGTATAATAACAAAAGGTCTATATTGTTAAAATTTATAGAAAAAGTAAAAAAAATTCTGCACTTAAGACTTTATTATTAAAACTTGTACGAAAAGATTTTTGCCACTGTGGGAGTCAAACCCACGGCTTTGGCAATCGCGGCCTGACGCTTTAGCCACTAAGCTAAACGGCTGATTGCCACACCGACAAAAATCTTAACATATTTTATCTACATTGCTTTTTAGAATTTGAAGCAATGCTTGGCGCATCATTGTTATATCCTTTCCAGCATACAATTAATTTAGAATATTGTTTTACAAAGATAATTCAAACGAGAAATGTCGCAATTGCTTTTTCAGAAATTTAAATTATTTTATAGTGCTTAATGATTAAATCTTCACTTAAGATTTAATCATTAAGGTTTGTATTAAATGAAAGTAATATATGGATCAATCAGTCTGTACCATGACCATGAACACTAGGAAGGCTTCGAAACGTCGGGAATTACAAAATCAAAATAAAAACGCGATAAAACCTGTTAAATAGTTTCAGTTAATATGTATAATATTCGAGTAAATTCAAAAAGTCAATAAACAAAAATCTGCCTTTAAGCTTTGAGACATTTATATTATTTGATCGTTACTTTTATCGTATCTTCTAGCAATTATTACATTGCTCATAATATCTTCCTTATGCAAGAAAATTATAACGAATAAATGAAAAGCGTGGTGAGTATTAAAAATACATTTCTTTCCATCCTCACTTTTTGTACTTGAGACTATTATTATATATATATATTATAACATTTATTAATTTTGTTTTTTGTTTTCTAAAAAATACTATACACAAAATGTAAGTATGTTGCTTAATACGTTTGAAGTCCAACAACATTTTTTTGCTTTTCCATCAAGTAGATCAAGATTATTTTCTAATATATTAAACCCAAGTATGCTGGCGTTACGGCAAGCACGGCACCGCCTGGGACACTCAATATCGCAAAGTGTGTATGTACGATAAGAGAAAAAAACATGCTTTCATTGATAAATGCTGCTTGCGTAAACGTTGTTTTTCAAAGGCCCAGCTGATAAGCCGTGGCGCTCACTTGCAGATAAATTCTTTAGCTCCTTTTATTCGATGCATTCAAAATGTAACGTACCGTACGTTCAATTAAATGGTCAAATGCAACACATGTTTTAATATCTCTGATCTCGCCGTTGTGTGTTGCTGCTAAACTACATTTAAATAACAAAAAAAAAAAACTAAACAAATTACTCACTACTACAAACAAATTACTAAATTTAATAAGCCCTGTGTACAGCATTTGTTATAAAAAGAGGCGAAACGTTGTTGCTTTTATATAATGCACGAAATCTGATTGTGATTATAAACGCTCCAAATGACTTATAGTATCATAAATTAACAAATAACGACTGCAATGTTTGTAAAAATCTGTGATAAGCGATTGATAAACATTTTCAAATGACGTAAACAATGCTTGTAAGAACTAACGTACTCAGAACTCTGATAAAACGAGTAGGCGTATCATGTTCTGAGGTGTCTGCAAATCATTTTAGTAACAGCATGTTGCATTAAATGAATACTAGGTATTTGCTGGAATACACGATTATTACTAGAAGTTATGGCGTATAAAATCACGCCCAAGGACACATTAAGCTGTTGGTCACAGTTCACTGGAAACTGGTGCACGATTTCTCGTTTTAGTCACAGATACCGTTGCAATATGCTCACCTCTGTGAGTAAACTTAAGAGCCTTCCAGCTCGATGTACCAACTAACCTTACCAAATACTGTTATTATATGTAGAATTTTACTTATCTATCAGTCGGCTTGCAGATATTACTTGTTTAACCTTTACAATAGATATGAATTTCGTTCACATTTTATTTTTGAATAATCTCGTAATATATACCTACTAACACATTTAATAGGAGCCATTCATATCATCCACATTTGAAAACCACCGTTTGAAGCATTATTTAAATTATATTAAGTGTCGTAAACTAGGAGTGAATGTAAACTGTTTTAAAAAATTAGCTATGCACATGTATGTACTTACATATTTTGTTACATGTGAAAAATCACAGTAAATTATTAAAAAAATACGATAAAAATATTTTTTAACTAATCTATGGATCCGTCAGTATAAATACATAAATAAAGCTTTATTTGTGTATTAACATTTTTACCAGTACAGACTTTTACGAGTACAGACGGACACATTACTGAACTGATTGTAAAATGTTAAGATTTTGATGATTTTAAATGATTTCGTAAAGTAAAAATTTATATTAGCGAAACACCTATGTCAATATTTTAAAAACAAAACGTGCTAATAGGCATGAGTTTTAACTATTGGTTTAACATTTCAGGTAATAAAAAAATATTTTTATTATGTGAAGCCGCCAATCCGTAGTGGGGCCGCGTTGTGGACTATGCTCTAATACCCTCTGTGCCTCTGTACATACATCTCTGGTTTCCTCTGAAGCCTTTGCTCAGCAGTGGGACATATTTTATAGGCTGTTACTTTAGTTTTACTTTTTTTTAACATTTCAGGAGGGTATACAATATTGCCATTATGGTGCATGTGTTAACTTGGATACACACTAAAAATACTAAAATACATAAATTTCATGTAGTTAAGAGTATTTATGTTTAAAATTGATAGTTCCTAATAAAATAAATAATTTATAACTGGGATAATAAAGCTTATGTATCAAAAGCTCCTGACCACAATTTTTCCATTCTTTTCCAACATTTTTCCTATTTGTCTTTTTGCTTTTGATCTTTTATAATTCTAGGCTAAAATCATGAATATTTCGCAAGTTTGCAATAATTCATTTAATTTTAAGGTGCACATTTTAAGTCACATAGATAAAATTAAATTTATAGGATTAAACAAATGTCCAGTACAAATTGCCCATAGTGTTACAATTCTATACGGAATGAGCATTTTTGTTTCATCCTACTAATAATTTAGACTTTCAATGTTTATGTAGTTATTATAAAATGTCACATTTCAAATTGAAATTAAATGTGAAAGATAAAGATAAGGGTAGAAGTTCCCGCCAAAACTATACAAATTTTTATTTCTCATTAAGGTAAAAAATGTTTGCAGGATACAAAAACTTTGAAGCTAATATTCTCGTCTTAACTTTTATAGATTATAATTTCTTGTATTTACGCGATTACACATTATAAATGAAACTAATCTTACGGATTTATCGTGTTTATTTTTAATTCTAACGAAACGTCGGGAATTAAAACTAAAAATAAACGCGATAAATCCGTAAAATTAGTTTCATTTTATAGATTAATCTAAACTATCTAATAATTTTTCCAAATTAACTGTAATTTGAAACATGTTAGTATTTCGAACTAAAAAAGTTCAATAATATATTTTTTATTAAATCGAAGTTAACTTTTAAGTTAGGTATCAATACACCTTTGTTTCAAAATTTAGCTTTTAATTCAAAATAATAAATAAAAAGTATTGCGCATTATAGATTACACTCACATTATAACTTTAATGTTTTTAAATAGCAATAACTATGATTTTAAAAAGTATCTGCTGCTTAGAGGATTGTTTTTTAATTTTTATTATAACTATAGATGCTCTTTATAGGCCGTGACGGAGAACTGGAGTCCCGGGTGCGGAGACGAAGGCGAGCATTCGCGTCCCCTCACGCGAGAACGGGCGAGCCGCATTCCACGACTGGGTCGACGGCACTGCCCCGCGCGCTCCGCTTCCCTCGGCCTCCAGTCGTTTGCGCGCGTCGTTAGTGATAACTAGTCTCTATGTTGTCCGCTCTGTATCGCGCGCTGTGTTTACAATACAGTGTTGTTTGTTATTGTTAAAATATAACAACAAGTGATCTGTGCAAGTGAAGGACTGTCAAGTTATTTTATACGTTTTATTGCAGTCTATGTCAGTGTTTTAAATTAACCATTGTGTTACGCGAGGAACAGGCAACCACGGCGGGCGCCGAGCTCAGGTAGCGTTTCATATTAGTTTTCGATCTGATTACGGCTAGGTTAATCTGGTTCAGTGCGTAGTACGGTGGCGTAGGTTTGCATCTTCGTCGTACTGTGCAGGTGACTAGAAGGGGACCACGTGACTGCGTGCATCAATCGACCACCACGTGGTGCGGTGGTGTAAACAACGGGTTGGCCCTTTTCCACACCGCGGTAACGCGCTGTTGGAGTCGTGTAGCGTTGCAATACCACGCTAGCCTCGAAGTAAATGCAACGCTGAGTGTATATTCGCTTTCAATTTGTGTGATATTTTTGTCTTACAAATTAAAGGAATAGAAAATTATTTCAATATGAACATAATTTTATACTCTTTTACAAAATTATTTCGCAGTAGCTTATATAATAGTAATAAATGGTGGTACTACTGAGTTAATTTATCAGTTTATAAACTATAAATTAAGTAAAATTCACGCAAGTTAGACCTTAAAAATTACGATGTTTTAAAATTGTTTAATATTTATGTAAAGATTAAAGTTTTATTTTATTTAGTTTGTGTTATTTCATTTTTTGTATAAGATTATGTACTTATATAAGTTTTTTGCATAATAATAAATGCCTAAATATTATTTGTAGGTACTTTTAATCTATTTTACGTTTTTTAAATACAATGTTATAGCCCAATTGCAAGAACTAATTAGAAGCATTTCTTTTTGAACATTTTTCCTAAATAAAATTATGTCAAAACCATTTTTACACTGCTTTTTAGTAACTTTTACTTTTAATGTGAGCGGTAATTGACCTAAACATGTGTCAGTTTGATGCCAAAGTCAAAGTTGTTTACATAATGATTTGACGTTATTTGTATGTTTCTATGCAAATTCATATCAGTATTCGTCATTATACATTATAAATAACGTTTTGTGAACCAAGTTGACCCGGGAATTCTGTTTAGTATTCAGTTTTTGTTGGAACCTTAAGGTAAACTATTACTTAATAGCTAGTCGTATTTTCGCTTGATGCCATTAATTGTGAACTTGGTAGGTAATTTCCCAGGAGGTACCTAATGCAACTTGATTTAAATGATTCCACCCGTTCGGGTTTTAGACATGTGGAAGACTATTTTATAGAAGCTATGTTGCCCGCGGCTTCACCCGCGTGGTCAAAAGAAGTTATTGTAAACTTGAGTTGATTTATGTATCATAAATGACACATTCCTGATGTACCCTGCATTTATAATAACGGTATGAATGTGACTTATAAATACTTAGGTATATGTTCCAATATGAAGAAGCTCTTTTAAATTGCTAATTTAATATATCTTTTCATTTTTCTTCAAAACGATGCTCTTACTGTAGGATAACTTTATCCAGGATAGTAAGCACGTTTCACATACATAATTTTCACGTAGACAAACAACCAAATCGAAAACAATTATTTGTGTATCACACAAATAGTTGACCCGTGTGGGAATCGAATCCACGACCCCCGGCGTCGAAACCAATATCTTGGCAACTGCGCCATGGGGACATCCCCTAGGCAAATAATAAAACCCCTAGGTACGCATGTAAATTCAGTTCCGAAAACTATGCGGACGTAGCTGCGGGAACAATATAGTATTATAGTACATACCTACGCTTATTATTTATAATTAGGTAAAATTTCAGAACTCTTAGAATCTCGCTAGAGAAACTTGTACTTGTACTTAGACTATTTTTAGTCTTAACATCAGAGCGAAGTGAGAGCATTCTACGTCTTCATGAAATTCCTTGTTTTAGATGATTATTAACTCTGCTATTAGCGATACTGTACTTTGGGCCTAACTCACACGCCGTCATTGTTGGATTGATTCGATTCAAAACAGGCGATAAGAAAATGCGTACAGCATACAAACAACGAATACCTTGAGGCCTTATCAAAATAACGTACCGAAAATAACATTGTAAATTTTGTAGTCTTGGAATTTTAGCTGATAAACGATCCTTACTTTGAATTTATTAAACAACTTCTATTATTAAGTATTATGTACATATAAATATATAGGTATATTGTATAATTCATATATCTACAAATATCATTGTTTTGAGTTCGCACTTCTAGTTACACCTATTTTAATAGGTATCATTAGAATTCTATTCGCTCATATAGAAGTAAACTTTGTAATATACCTATTTAAGGCATATACTTGCACACTCAGATCGGTCGTAAAGGTTCGCTAATAAGGTACCACTTGTCGTAAACTAATTTACCTCCATCTTAAGAGTTAATTGTCGTCTCTGAATACGGTGTTTGTGCTTTATGATTCTGAGTAATTCGCCGTAGTAAAAAAGTGTGTACAGCAGTGGGTCGCTGTAAATAGCATAATTTCGATAGGCACGGCATGATAATGAGCTCATGAACGCTGCCGCCGCGAAATTTGACCCGGATGTTAGTAAAACGCGAATAAGAAACAATGTCGAGCGGAAGTTCATCATAAAAGCGACAGATATTTTTACTTATTGATTATCGGAGTGTTCGGAACTTTTAAGAAGTTCATACGTATATGTTTTTTTCAATTTGTTAAAGTACCTACTTTACGTAATCATGAGCTGTGTTTAGCGCGAAGGAAGACTTGAATGATTTTTTTATGAAAAATAGTGGCAACTTTTTATTCACTGGCGTGCACAGAAATTTAAGACAGGTTATGCACTAAAAAACTTCTCTAAGTGATTGATGATAACAAAACAGTTAGGTACCTAAATGATATCCTCAGTGGCCTTTGTTTTCAAAGGCGTGAGGCGTGAAGTTTTCTTTTCTCTACCTCAAAAAGAAAAGATAACTTTACTGTAACTCGTGCGTTTCGGTAAAGCTTGTTTGCATGTATAGAGTGCACACGCATGACTTTAGCACTATCAACAGTGTAACAGCAGAGCTGTCAGGGTTTTGTTTTGTATTATGTTCATAAAAGTAAATCGGCGCACGTCCTACTTTATACTTGTTAAGGTCAGTGGAGAAGCGGAAATATGTATTATACCAGCGGACCCAACAGACGCCCTATAAACACGACTGAAATCCGAAAACAAGTTATAAATAAAAAAATAAAAAATAATGTGGACCAAATTGTGATTCTAAACCATTCTCGAATCGACCTGAAGACGCACAAAAAATCATTAAAATCGGTCCAGCCGTTTAGGAGATCAGTGACATACACACGTATAGTAGAATTATACAAATATAGGTTTTGGAGAAATAAGAGAAAGGCCTTTTTATAAGACAATAAAATTAATTATAAATGAGAACAGTCCGCAAAAACTTTCGATTCGTAAATATACCGTTAACGTTACCCGCTGATTTGTACGTTGACACTGCTCTTTCACCGAACTTCGAAGGTAAACGAATGGTCGGTTATATAATATTGGATGTGCGTAGGAAAGACGGTTTAGTTCTCTAAATACATAAAATATATCTATTTTATTTATCCTGATGTAAAGTAATAACCGCCACCCATGGACACCCGGTTGCAATACCCGTAATGTTGCAGATGTGGTCCGGGCTACCTGACTCACAAGTAGTGATGTGCCGAATCATTAAAATTGTAGATTCGCGGATACGGATCATTGGCGTAGATATCCGCGGATACGGATACCGATCTTAGTATCCAGGAAAATCTTAATATTAGTGCATCCACCGTCCTTGATTTTGTGTCTGAATCGAAGGATAAATTAGATTTTAGTTTTTCAGAAATTGATAAAAAAATTCAATAGCCACATTTTTATTCTCCCCCCCCCCCCCCCCCGTAATACGTAAACTCATTTGCTCATACAGTATATGTCAGAAAAATGATTATCAAGAGGGCCACACTAAAGTACTGGAAAAAAATAAACAGTGTGAGGTCTCAGTCATACATAGTATTTTTTGCGCCAGAGGTGTGGGTGTCGGTCTATAAAAATGTGTGATAACATAGTATTGTAACATATTAAAGCTAAAGTTGAGCTAAAGTATGTGCAGTGATAAATTTGGTGTGATGAGCAAAATTTTGCTTATAATAAGAGACTTGAGAGGATTTGAACTTCTTTGCTACATGTATATTATATAAGTACGGTCAACCCGAATCTTTAAGGAGACGCAACACCTCTTATTGTTCTTAAAAAACCATGCATTCTGTAAGATGACATTAGACGTGCAACGAATAGTATATTTGGCGGGCTTATTGGCCGAATAGCCGAATATTAGACGAAAGTATACGTCCATCGCGTGGTGGGAATACTTGTATACATGTAGGTAATTCTTTTTAGTTTGTTCAAATGTACGAATTACAATAAACTAGCTTACCAGGCATACGTTGTCCTTTACACACAACTTAAATCCGATAACAACTTATAAATCTTATATATAAAAATGGATTGCTGTTCATTAGTCTCGCTAAAACTCGAGAACGGCTGGACCGATTTTGGTTTTGAAATATTCGTGGCAGTCCAGGGAAGGTTTAAACGATGAGAAATCATGGAAATATTGATGGAAAATTGAAATAGCAACAATTTTATTTTCCTATACAATCTGTACCTGTCAACGTGTCAACTGTGTCTGTGTAATCTGTCAAACACTATGCGTGTTTTCCGATTCCTCTAGAAATTATTTTATATGGCAAAACAACGTTTGTCGAGTCAGCTAGTAAATAAATAAAAACAAAAAACGAATTTTGAATCTAAACCAACCAGGGCGTGGTACCCAAACGCATACAAAAAAATAATTCAAATCGGTCCAGCCGGACTTGAAATTTGGTAGGAATATTCATTTCGAGTAGAGGTCAAAACAACGTTTGCCGGATCAGCTAGTTATATATGTAAAGATAAAAAAAAATATCACAAAACAAGAGAGAGGAAGGTATTTAAAGGGATCATTCTTTAAGCTAACAACTATAACTAATGGTATATATTTTTTTGCATTTCTCTCGGTACCTCAAAACTTCACCTCACAAGTGGTACATTCGTTGATACACATTATTGGCTAAAAAATAAATAGATGAACTTTATACATTACATTC